TCTGTTCCAGACTGCATTTGTCTTTTGCCGAAGCTCAGACTCTGGCACAGGATCGGGAACGTTAGAAGCTATGTCTGACGTGTCTGCCTCCGCCACCCGAAAGGAAAAGCGGCGATGGAAGATGATGATGAAGAATGAAAGAATAAAATTTATTGTGACTGGAGGTAATTAATAGGAGCATTATTACTTATTTCTGTGGGTTGGCGCATAACTACAAAATGACGCAGTAACATAATATTTTAGCATGATAAAAGTGTTTTCTATGAAGAAATCTAATTTTTGATTTCTTTTAGTTCATGGCTGTTCGATTTCGGCTGATATTTCATGATAAACGTTCTGTGAATCGGATTCATAATGATATCATCTGTTTCTAGTTAACAGTTTGGTGCAGTACAATGAATGACATGTAATAGATGTATTTGAAAACAGCAGAGAAATTTTCAGGTTAAAGCCGTATACAAATTCAGTGTTGTGACAAGACGGGCGTATCACGCTCAGGAAGAGCCTTTTATAATATGCACCTTGATGAAATTAGTCAATAGATATATGTAAAAGTTTCATGGCGTCAAACTCGCGCTTATTAATGTTAACTTTGACTCATGCCGATTTAATAGGCTTGCGTAATAGTCACAGTGAAATTGACAGGCGAACATGCCAAATTTGAAATTGATATTTATGACGAAATTTTTGTAAGCTGCTTACAAACAGCTTTCGAGCCATGTATAGCGTGATCTGTTAAATCAAGTAATTTATACAGTTGACTACCTGCAAATATACTCGCAGTCGAGAAACAACGCTCTGACTTAGCGACCTGGCGCAGTCACAATGATGGAATCATAAAATAAAATGAAAAGCATCTGCGTTCATAGTTTAACAACGACTTTGCGTTGTACTCGCAGAGAGTTTCTCATTGATAGGCAACATGATGGGTGAAGTAAAGTCATCGATACAGATGACCATCTGCCACTGACAAATTCAATCTCATGACCGCAGACTGCGCGCTAACGTACTGAACTCGCGCAGTCATTGTAATGGGAAATTCCATAGTTTGACAGTGGCATCGTACTTCACTCTTCTAGACGTATCTCTTGACATATAAAATGATGAGCCAAATCACCTGAATGATCCGGCCAGTTACACAGATTCAATGCGCCGCGCCAACTGCAGGACGCAGCGTTAACACCAACTGGCGATCTGCGTCAGAAGGTTCCATTCCATCTCCGGAGTTCGAAGCCAACCTCAGGTACTGTGCCGCCGCGCCGCTTTTAGCATTGTACGCTCCACTGTGTGTGCGACCAGTAGAGGGCTCTCCGTAGTGGAAGAATATGCGGTTGGCTATTAGGTCAGTCAGTGCCGCTCACTGAGCAGCATGATTGTAGGCTAGGGGTTTTAAGATGAAGAGAGAGTTCCGCTTTAGCATTTTCCGTTTGTGGGTGGCCTAAAGCCACTGCTGCAAAGTACTTGCTCACGATACTGAATACTAATTGTCCAACAGGCTATCTGAATAGTAAATTCTTCATACTATTTTATATGATAAATGCCCTTCTGTCCGAGCTTGTATTTTGTATTCAGAATAATTTGCTCCTTGGTAAAAGTACCTTAAAAATATAGAGATCTTTCATCTCTCTGTGGTCATTGCCTGGTTATCTGTCTGACTTCCCTCAAAGTAATAAGCCCTAAACTACAACATTCTATCTCGGCTTAAATGCAAGCCTGGAATCGTATGTTTTAAAACTCGTGATAAGAGCTAGTTACACTGCTCTCTTCACGTATGATGATAATTGCAAACTTGTTGAAATTTTTTCAGAAGGCGAAAGTGTGCAAAGTGGCAGGCAGAATCCGCTAGAAATAGATGTCGACAATAAAATGCTGAAGCCGATTCGTGAACCTCCAGTCGCTCTACAGACTCCGCCTTCGACGTTGACCGTGCGTGAGCATCACATGCCTTCTCCCGGGGAAGATTTGTACGTGAAAATGGTCGATGAACTAGGCGGCAATAATGACGCAAAGTAATTGCTCGCAGTTCTTTTTTAAACGGTCTGAACGTTTAAGCAGCTGCCCACCCGCACCCGCCCGATGCTCTTCGATTTGCAGCCATCTTCAAATCTACTGATTAGTTGTGACTT